AATAACACACACACACACACACACACTCAGACACATACACACACACATGCACAACACAGTTCACAGTTCGAAGCTCGCACAGCAAAAAGCGGATGACTCATGCAAAGAGTCCTCCAAACACAGTTGTGCCAGTGTGTGTGTGTGTGTGTGTTTGTATGAGTGTATATGCTTGTTGTTGCTACAATTGCTTCTTGAACTGGCACCTACCACAGTCAGCAGGAGCCGCAGTCAAACATGGTGAATCATCCTTTTTAGAGGCGCGCGCGTTTCCTGCCCGCCAATCCCACCCCCTCCCTCTCCCCCAAACCCTCCTCATACACACATACACACACAAACTACTGCACCCTACTCGGCTTTTATGTGGCAAACAAGCCACTGACGTCGAGCAAATACACAAAGAAATAACATTTATAGACGCCACAACTTTCAAGTTCAGCTATGAAATCTTAATTTAAGCTATATTCTTTAGCGTGTGGGCTTAAAAACTTATTAAACTGTATTTAAATATGTTAAATAACATGTTGCAGAAGATGTAATAATGAAAGTCTAATAGTAAAAACAAAAATAATAAGAAACTTAGGCGAAATCTTTAAAATTGAAAATAACAAATCTTAAATATGAGTTTAATTAATGTTGTTCATTGAATAACAGCAACATTAATAATATAACAAATTTAAGAAGAAGAAAAATTAATAAGACAAATTTGAAAAAACTATTATTAATAAAAATATTATGAATAAAACCTCAGAAAAATTTTTAACAAATATTGGCTGACAACTTTTAAGTACACCCAATTTGGGCACAAGAACTCGGCTAACAGAATTTGTAAGGTCGTTTTCTCGAATCGATCTATAAGGGAGGTATTAGCTGTAATTTGATATGTGGAGAACAATCGCCACTCACTTGTCCCTGATGGTCGAAGTCGAAAGAGTCTAATACATATTCGAACATTTATACCAGATTTGCTGTTGTTAATCTTACTAGCATTGAAAACAAATTAGGCACATAACTTTTGAAACAGATTATGATACTTTTTTCGTCGACAATGCACAAGTAAATAAAAAAAATAATTTATTAAATGAATAGTAAATAAATGTAATGAATATAAAATCAATTAAACAAAATAAATGTTGATAATTTGTTTAATGCTTGGACACTGGATATCAAATTATATGTCTGAGAAAAACTATTGAGTCGTTTTTTCTTACCAAATATTTGATTCATTTTTGAAGCTTCAGACTCGTTTCTCTTAGTGTAGGCAGCTGCCATACTCAATATTTTGTGCCTCAATTGTGTTGCTTGTTTTTTTTTTTCACAATCAACTTATTATTTCAAGGTCTGCTTAAGAATTTAGTTTTTTTTTCTGTCATTTGTTAAACACGAATACCCCCAATGCTTGAATTGCCAGGAATGTTGTAACTTTCGGTGCCGCGTTGTCGCGCAGATTGCGTGTATGTGTGTATGTGTGTGTGTGTGTGAGCGAAAGAGTGTGTGAGTGTGTGTCTGTGTTAGCATAGTTATAGGCGCGCGTGTCCCGCCTGTAGACGTATGTAGGTGACTAACAGTCGGCCACGCCTCATTGCCGAGTTGCCATAAAATGCATGTGGCAACATTCGCCGCGCTGCTGCAAGGTGGCAGCTGCAGCCTCAACTGCAATTTGAGAGCAGCGCCAGCCAAATTGCCAACAGCTTCAAGTGGAGGGGGGGGAACACTTAAAAGTGCTCCCACATAAATCATGCGGCAAGGCATCCCACAAAAAAAAAAAAAAAACGAAAAGGAATAAAATAATGCGGGCCCAAAAACCTCACTGTGGTCTTGGGGCTAATACAATTCAGCAATATTTAAAACAAAGTGCCGAGCGAAAAGTGTCCGCCAGGAAGCCATTTTACGGTCCTGCGGTGCATTAAGTGCACGGCCAGGTGAACCGAAGCCCGAGCAACTGCGTGCGGTTTCCCCGTGAATCCCCTCCCTTGCCCTTGGCCAAGCAACTTTTATTATATTTTTAGCGGAAATTTATGTTTATTGCTTGGCTGCCACATTTTTACCCTTAAAAAAGTGGATGGGTTAGCACAAGTTTGTCATTACGTTTGGCACTTAGAAAAAGTTTAAAAGGCTAAAAAGATGTGTGAGCACCTGAATTTACCACTTCCAAATAATGTAAATTGCAACTACTTAAGACTTCAATTTCTGCTTTCCAAATACTGTAAAACGGAACCACTTGAAATAATTCTTAATTGTATAACACATTTATAACGGTAAACACAGTTCGGTCTGTTGTAAAACGCTTTTCGCACTCTCTGATTTTCCCTTTTTGAGTATATTTTTATTTATTCATGCAGTTTTGTGGGCTGCTGTGGCATGAAAACAAACTTCGGCCAAGCCGTAACTGCATAAAATGTGGACTGTTAAAACAAGGAACTTATTTTAAATACGAAAAGAACTCAAGGTTGAATTCAGGCAGATGAAAAGCAATGCCCGAAAAACTAGAGATGTTTGAAAGTCTTAAACTTTATACTCTAATGCTCTATTATAATAGGACTTTATTACACTTAAAACAGCACAGAGCTCATTTCAAATAAGTTTTCATCGTCTCGCCCCAAGCAAGAGCTACTCTTATGACGCACAAGAGAAATGTTTGCACTGCCAACTGATGCGCAAATAGGAAACGGAACGCCCACTCATCGTCGGACAGTCGGACAGATGGACGGCCAACATGGACATGGGCATGGACACGGACATGAACATGACTTGAACATTAACATGGCCACGAGGACACAGACATTGTCATTTACCCAACCACACAAGATGTGCTTTTGCGTCGTTGACAAGGTAAAGGGTAGCACGGGAAGGCCCGAAAAGGTCAGATGTTGTGCGCAATCAGGGCACCAACAATATTAGTCAAATATAATAAACTAGATAAATTTTAATACTTATTATTATTAATTATTTTCACGAGTGTGCCATTTCCAAACAATCATAAACTTTACAGCCGGATAGATAATGACCAAATTAGCTGTGCTCGCTTTTTCCATCAAAAGGGTTTATTTAATGCCTGAACATGATGAAGGATGTAGGGAAAGTTAACTTCGATATATACACTAAATACATTAGAAAATCCCTGCGAATGCATTTTAAATGTGTGCTGTATACCCTAATTTCGCACAAAACTTTGTTATCTTATATGGAATATATATGCTAGGATATTTTAGTTCTATGATATATCACTCCGATGTTGTTTTGATGATATGCTGAAAGCATTATATAGTTAGTAATTGGAAAATTTAGTCTAGATATTCAACAACATTCAAAAATGTAAAGAGTTAAGAATCGAAAAAGATTCCATGAAATCTTCAGCAAATTTGTTAATCAAGAAATCCTTTCTTTTTGGGAAATGCACGAAGCTTAAACTTTTCCAATAGATTTATAAGAATTCGTCCAAACTTAATAAGATAAGGGGAACATTTATGAAGTATATTTATGAAGTTTGCAACTGTTAAGTTTCACAAAGATATTCTGAGAAAGAAAAAAAACTTAATTCCTACATGAGCTATATGTCAGATATAGTCGTCTGATCCAGCCAATTTTGAAGTCAGCGCTGACTGCAACAGAAAAAGAAACCAGTTGACATAGAAACAGGCAAACATACATGGGTATATCGACAGATCAACTCGGCTGTTAATACTGATCAAGAATATATGTATATACTTTATAGGGTCTGAAATGTATACATCTATGCGTAACACACTTCATAGGAAATTATAGTTTTAAAAAGAAACTGTAAAAGAAACTATACTAAAAAAAACTTCAAGAACAATCTTAAATTTCTAGAAAATTTGCCATTTATAAGTTTTAAATTGCCGCCCTAATTGCTTGTATACCTTTTATAAAAGGGCACAACATTTTGGCTGGCACTGTTACGCACTCAACTGGCGCGCACTTGCCTACTGCAAATATTTGCACGCAGTTAAAACTCAATTTCGTTGCTTGACGTCAGTTAACGGGACTCGCAGTCAATCTGCAACTTGATAACGACAACAACTACAACAACAGCAATAATAATAACTGTAAAGCGTGGGCAGCGCCTGGCGACAGGCAATGGCAAATGTGAAAGCGTCTGATAGCCGTTGTCTGAGGCTGATGACAGGTTGCACCATATGCTCGATGGGGTTTATTTTTAGCAGAGTGCCAAAAGGCAAGAATGAAGGGAAACAACAACAGCTGGCAACAACAGCAACAGGATAACAGTTAGATCGAAATGTGCGTGTGTATTTGTATGCGTGTGCGCATAACAGGACGCTGTTACAGTCCTGGCCTGGAATATTGATTTTTCAACAAAATGCGTTGAATACATTTTCACGCCTAACATTAGTCACCGCTGACACGCAAGAAAAAGAGAGGAAAACATAAAACCCCAAAATATATAAATATTTCAATCAATTTACTCGCTACTCACATTCCAATCCCAAAAGCGACGGCCGCTGCAATTGCTGCCGTTTCCTATTCCAATTTTTTTTTTATCCACTGGACACACAAATTTATTGCACTAGTTTTTTTGTTGTTGCTTAAACGTTTTGCTTTTTGCACAGTTTTTGGGTCTTTTTAAAGCGTTTGCATGTTTGAAAATTTTGTTTTGTTGTTTTTTTTGTTGGGTCTTTGTTTTATTTGCAGCGCATTTGCATTGCAATTTTCCGTTTCAGCCGTACCGAACGCGTACGCACGCCAAGTGGATCTGTCGCTGCCAAGTCTGTGTTACGCGTGCTGGAAAATTGTTTGCACTTGCGCACGCGAGCGTGGGAAAGCTGTGGAAAATCCGCGCGAAGTGAGTTTTCCGCCCACCCAGGCGTCGGCCAGCCTGAGTTTGTTTTTGTTGTGGCCAGCCAACAGCTGAGCGCACGTCACTCCAGTGTTGGCAAATGGCTGAGCAAAACAGCTGCTTGCACAGGGTGACACAAGTTCATATTATTGGCTGCTATTTACTTTTTGCGTTTCAACTAACGGCATTCATTGGTCACCAATTTATTGGCCGAAATTTTTGACTACATTCAGAGCCTGCGGCTGCATATACGACACATTTAACATAAAGACAATTGAGTATTGCGCGCCTAGGATAGCTTCTTGGCCTCCTGGTAGCGGCACGAGATGTCATCCCAATTGGCAATTTCCCAGATCGCCTCAACATACGAGGGACGCACATTCTTGTACTGCAAATAGTAGGCATGCTCCCAGACATCGATTCCAAACAGGGGAATGAGACCGGTGGAGGCCTCCAACGGATCCTGATTGGGCAGCGCAGCCAGCTGCAATTTGTTTGTCTTCTTGTTGTAGCCCAGCCAGCCCCAGCCAGAACCCTGCACGGCTACGGTGAGCGCACTAAGCTCCTTCTTGAACTCATCGAAGCTCTTCCACTGCGACTCGATGGCGTTCTTCAAATCTTCGCTGGGCGTCGACTTGTTGGGCGAGAGATTCTGCCAGAAGATAGTGTGATTTATGTGGCCACCGCCATTGAATCGCAAAGCCGGCGCCAATTGAATAATTTTGGTGGTGTCGCTCTTGCACTTGGCATCCTCCAGCTGCTCCTCGGCGGCATTCAAATTGTTGACATAGGTCTGGTGATGCTTCTGATGATGCAGCTCCATAATCTCACGGTTAATAATAGGCTCCAATGCGGCATAATCGTAGGGCAGCTTAGGCAATGTATGCTTGCCCCGCAAGCTGACGGCGCTGCGGATTTAATAATAAATATGTATATTTATATTAAACTGTAATATTCACGGCCGCCATTGTCGTTTGTTGTTGTTGCTGTTAATTTATGTAATCGCAGCTTTGCGTCGGCGCCGGCATTCTCTAATATCAAAAATATTGGATTGACTTACCGTGCTGCCTTAGTGAAATTGCGTGCCAGAAACATTTTTGGAATATATTATTTAACCTGAGTATTGAATACTTGTTAATTTTCAATAATAGAATATAAAAAGTTCTATGATCTTATTAGCTTACCGGAATCAAGTGTGACAGCGAGCGGCAAACACTGAAATACACAAAGCCAACACTGAAAATATATTGAAAAAAAAAAAAAAAAACAAAAAAAAAACCTTTACAGAAAATACTGCGTCGCTAACAGGGCGCTGGTGACAGTATTGTGGAACGGTTAACAGCAAACTTGTTGCCACAACCAGCTTAACAGCGCACTGTTACGTGCTGCAGTGCTGCATAAGTCGCCAAGTATTTAGCCGCTACAATTTGAAATACGCCACACACATAGAAAACATGTTCAGGGAACACAGCAAAATATGTCTCAGTTTTGTTTGCCTTCGAAAATTGAAATCGATATTTCCGACCAAAGGGCACAACAAATTCTGTTCAAATCTTTAAAGCATCGTAAGTTTTCGGCACTGGTTTTTTAGGATTGCGTTACATTTAAATCATTGATTGCACCTGCAGGCGTTGCCAAGATGCAAGCGGACGAGCTGTCCACCGCTGTAGTCATCGACAATGGCTCTGGCATATGCAAGGCGGGCTTCTCCAGCGAGTCCTCACCACGTGTTGTCTTTCCCTCAATTGTGGGCAGACCCCGCCATCTGAACGTCATTCTGGACTCGGCCATCGAGGACTGCATCATTGGCGATGAAGCGGTGAGAAAGCGAGGCATTCTCACACTCAAATATCCCATTGAGCATGGCGTCGTTACCAACTGGGCTGACATGGAGAAGATATGGAAGCACACATTCGAACAGCTGCGTGTTGAATCTGATGGTCATCCGGTTCTGCTCACCGAACCGCCACTGAATCCCAAAAAGAATCGCGAAAAGATGACCGAAATTATGTTTGAGAATTTCCGTGTACCCGCACTCTATGTGGCCATTCAGGCGGTATTGTCGCTGTATGCCACCGGACGCACCATTGGCATTGTCGTAGACTCTGGCGATGGCGTCACCCACACTGTGCCCATCTATGAGGGCTACGCCCTGCCGCACGCGTGCATGCGCCTGGATCTGGCTGGACGAGATCTGACCGACTATTTGGGCAAATTGCTTATGGAACGCGGTCACACGTTAAGCACCAGTGCAGAGCGCGAGATTGTCAGAGAGATCAAGGAGAAGCTCTGCTACGTGGCCACCAATTTCGATGAGGAGCTGCATCAATCCACTCTGCGCAAACACGATTTGGATGCACTATACGAATTGCCCGATGGCACAACTATCAACATTGGAAACGAACGTTTCCGTTGCCCGGAGGCGCTCTTTAAGCCCAGCATGCTGGGCCAGGAGGTGCCCGGACTGCACGAAGCCGTCTTCAACTCGATACTCAAATGCGATATGGATCTGCGCAGGGATATGTATGCCAATATTGTGCTCTCGGGCGGCACAACCATGTTCCGCAACATTGAGGTGCGTCTGCAGCAGGATATTTCGGTAATGGCGCCCTCAACAATGCGCATCAAAATTACAGCCAATCCGGAGCGTTGTTTTGCCGTCTGGTCTGGCGGTTCCGTATTGGCCTCACTCTCCAGTTTCCAAAATATGTGGATCGATTGCGCAGAATATGACGATGTCGGTCCCAGTATAATACATCGCAAGTGTTTCTAATTCGGGCAAGTGGCGACTGCCAAATGCAATGTGAAATGGGAGAGCGCAGATTAAGTTTATTTATTTCTATATTTTATATGTTTAAATCAAATAAAGAACGCCGACGTGTAAACAAGTACAGCATAAATCTTGACACTGTTCATGCTGTTAAGTGTTGCCAACTAAAAAATAGCGAATCTAACGTTAAGTTGGCAACAAACAGTTGCTTGTAACTAATTTGTCAAATATAGCCAAATCAGCTAGAAATTTCGACTATTTGCGGTTGGCATTCTCTAAAAGTAGCTGTATTTAGCTATAAAATAGCTAAGCACTCATCTCGATGTGCCGCCCACACAGTGTAAGCTAATGTCTTTATTTTTAAAGCATTTTGAAGCCTTTTTTTAATACTTATGTAAGGACTTACCAACACTTCTTTGAAACGAAAAGCCCCGAGGTTTAAGCTTTAAACGTTTGAACATAGTCTAATTAGATGCAGTTTTCACTAGAAGGAAATTGGATAGGAATTTCGTGTTTTCCATTCGAATCAAATTTTAAGCAATTAAATGGGATTGAAAAACGGGCACCTGACTTAATGAGGCAAAGTGGCTTTCGAATAGATCATACCTGGTAGCTGTTCAAATTTGTTGCACGTAAAACCATTCAAGGCTGCAAACAGAACCGAAAGTTAACAAGCCGAGATTAAAGACGAGCTTCGTACTGCGTGCCGCATCGCAAGCAATTTGTTTTTCTATAGCTTTTGGCTCGCATTACTATAAAGTATATAAAATGAGACAAATATAGCTGCAAACTGCAATTCTATCCACACAAGCCACAAGTGACCCGTCTCTATGAACTCAGAAGCAAGTGAAGCTACGGTCCCCAAATTTGGCATATGCATATACAGATATAGCCTGATGTTAAATTCTACAAATTTAGGTTCAATATTAGCGACACCATTGTGCGCCACAAATGTATATCATTAGCATTATATAACGATGACAATTTTGATTTTAATTAATTGGGAATTTATTAAGCCAAGTGACGCATACAAATGAGGCGCTTGCCAAGTTGCAACATCACACAAATAGATGCTGTTGCTGTTGTTGTTGTTGTTGTTGTTGTAACCTTAACTTCCTTTGCCGCAAGCCTAAGCTGCAATATTTGGGCACACGTGCAGCGGGCGACATGCTGAATGGGAATGCGAATCTTGAGACTTGAGACGGAACGCATTTACCTTCAACAGCCACATAATCAGCGGCAGCAGCATCGATGTTGCAGCAGCAGCCGTTTTTGTTGCAGTTGTTGTTGTTGCAGTTGTTGCTGCTGTCGTCAGCTGCACTTGAGGCGCTTTTGTTTCTGCACTTCAAAAGATACACAACAAATTTTCGAATGCGGATCTGCGCTCAGCTCCGCACTCGAGGGTCGCACGTGGCGCACTTCGCAGCCAAACTTCTGGCTAGCTGCGTTTTTGCAGCTGCATCAGCATTAGCATTAGCATTAGCATTAGCATTCGCATTAGCCCTTCTAAACGCAATGCTCGATTTGAAGTGTAAAGTTCAATAAACTGGCAGTATTAAGCGTATTGCTCCATATTTGGGCCACATTTCATTTAGCCAGCCAACTGGAGCCTAAGCCAAACTGACAGCCGCTGTCAAAGGGTGCCACAAGCTATTCTTGTTGTCAATGTTGTTGTTGTTGTTGCTATTTGTCGGTGACTGTTTGTTTGTGTCACTCGCCATCACCAAGGTTGCGTAAATTTATCACTTCACTTTGCCAGCGGGCGCCACTCTTGGCCCTGCCGAAAGAGAGCGGCTTTTGTTCTCATCGCGTCTAGAAATAAATAAACGTCGGTTCGGTTCACGGCTTGAACCAGTAAATGGTCTTGAGGTTCGGTATGTGAATCGCTAGCTATCACGATCTTTTAAACTAGACTTTGTTCACATTTTACGCAATTCACAAAATCTGGTTCGATTCTGATCTAGCTGGTTCGTTGGTTCAGTTCTTGGAACTTCAGAAAGCGGCTTTGAAACGGTTTGGCTCACAGCTGGTTTATAGGTTAGGTTTTTGCTCTCTTTCTCTCTTATTATTGCTATTGCCCAAACCTTAAATTCAATTTAAACATCAGTTTAAGCGGTTGTCATCTCTCTTGGCACATAAATTCAAATTCGTGAGGCTATAAATTAAAAAGGGACATGCGCGACTTGGACAGCAGCCGGCGAAGGCCTCAAGATTGTGTCGTGAAAACCAACAAAAAAATGCATATATATATATATATATATGTATAATGAAAAATAAAAACAAACTACAAGATGAGCTCATGTCTAATGCATTTTGTCTCCATCTGTTCGTCTGGGCTGTCTCTTAAGTCTGCCAAGTCTGGGATATGTCGCCCAGACGCTAATTTTATATGCATGCAATGGAGCGTAACTGAAAGTCGAGTGTTGGAATCAACAGCTAAGTATTTAAGTTAGTTTTGAGGAGCTGGAATGGGAAAACAACGGGCCGAGACGAAGAGGGGAGAGATAGATAATCGCAGGTCGCATGGGAAAACTTTTGCACAGCCGAAAATTTCTGGGTTAATGAAGGCTTAAGAAACTAATGATATATAATTATAACTATTTGCTTGTTAAAGCAAAACGACTTTCTCGAATACAAAGAAACTATCTTAATCTTTACCTACTCAAAAATAACTCGACCGTAAACTAAACTATATATAGGATATAGTTAAACACTTGCCTCTGAATATAGCTATATTCCATATAACTCGGGTACAATATTTATTACCAATAATAATAATAATTCTTTTTCCTCATAGTCTTACTTTCTCAACTTACTTTAATATATATTCATATATTTCACGCTCATCGCAAATCTGTGCCATTTATAGACAAACAACTTTTACCCCCTGTAGCTCTTATGTCAAAACAATCTAAGTAGGTTTAGGGTAAGGATAGCACAAAATTTATGCATCTATAAATAGTCCAGAGTCGAGGCTAGCTTACCTTTGGGTCCTGCAGCCTTGGCATTGCGCAGCTGCCAGCAGGGTTGTCAGCTTCATCAGCAGTATCCTAATATTTCTGCATTAAGGCCAAGGAGTCCGCACAGGTGCATTGCCAATTAATTTTTTTCTCAAACTCGTCGAACTGCCTGGCAACCCTGGGCAGCAACAGTTTGTCTGGGCTGTGCGCTGCCAGCTGCGCTCATTATCCTTGCCAGCTTGAGCATGTGTGCCAGCAAATTGAGCTCTCCGCCGCAGTTGTTAACTCCGGCCACGCCTACTAAATCCCGACTGCGTTTGCTATGCTTTTGCGGACTGCTCATCTCCATTTACACGCTGTACGTGAAAATCCAGCTGGACCACGATGAGAACTACACGGCCATGTGCGATTTGGCCGAGAGAGTGAGCTGCACCGCGGTCTTCAAGTCCGAGTAAGTCCTTTGCTAGTTTTAACAAAACATGTTCGACTCCTGCCTCATGCTTCGCTTGCAGCTATGGACGCGGTTTTGGACTCACGCAGCTGGTTTTTGGTAGAAGCACGAGTTATTTAAATCCACCCAATGGCTCCATTGGAGTCATCTTTTACTCGCTGCTCTTTTTATCCTGTAAGTTTTGTTCGTCCTTTGCTGATGTCATTCTTTAGTTTTGCCTCCCCTCCCCTTTGCCCCCGCAGCCTTCTACGAGCGCCGTTGGCTCTGCCAGCTGCAGCTGCTTGCCGCAGTTCTGACCCTACTGCTCTGCGTCTACCTTGGAGGTCTGCTGCTCCTCGTGCTCTACGACTGCTGCCTGGTCTGCGTGCTCATCTATGCCGTGCACACGCTGCTCCTGCTGGAGGTATATGGACGTTACAAGCGCCTCTATGTAATCAAAACGGCTGTCGAGTGAAATATATCACAAATTTTACATGGAACCTAATTGGTCCAAATACAGAACACATTTCTATTTTTTCTGCTCTCATAAACCATAAATATATTTATTTTATGATACTCTTTAGTATTATTGCAACATTTTCAGTAACTAACGAAACATTTAAAATATTCGAATCATGTTAAATAATACAATGAATATGTAAATAAAAATATTTTGATGAATGAAAATATGTGATTTTAAATAACTTAATTCTTTCAATTAAAATTGTAAGTCATATGAAACAATGTTCGAGCCTAGGAACACGAATGCGGTAAACAAGGTCCCTGAATCGAACCAAGCGTTGGTTTTAACCGCGAACAGAGCCTTGCTTCGGAACGGGAACTGAGGCTTGATTTGACCAGTCAACCGAGCCTTAGTTCAAAACGTGAACCGAGTCTTGCTTTGAAAGGTCAACCCAGCCTTGGCTTGGTCTGAAGCTGAATCTTGGTTTGAACCGTGAAGCGAGACTTGGTTCGAAACGCGAAGTGAGTCCTGGCTCGAACCGGCTACCGAGATTTGGTTTGAACCGTGAACGGAGCCTTTGCTTGAGGTGTTAACCGAGCATTCGTTTCAACCGAGCCCTGGTTCGAAACGCGAACCACCACAATTATACGCGGATTTGCACAAGTGCACTGCTTGTAATTAATGTAAAAATAGTTGAAGATAATTTAACAAGTCGCTAGCAGCTAAATTATGTGGGTCATTGGGGGGTTAAGCTGTCGACATGGACGTGCTCCCACAACCCAAGAAGTGCTTTTGCCTTCTGTTTTAGTAGCTTTTGCCTGGTCTTTGTCTACAAATCGCTCACTTTTGACCCCAACTCCACCCGGCACGTCTGCACATTTGCGACTCAATGCGGAGGTGGATCTCCCAGCACGTAGTTGAGCAATTAATTTTACAGTTCGCCTCTGTCTCTCTCTCTCTCTCTCTCTCTCTCTCTCTCTCTCTCTGAATGACTGTGTGTGTGTGTGGGGGTTGAATCCGTCTCAGTTGGAATGGTCGGTAGTAGGTGAGAATTGAGCACAATTAATTTGACATAAATCGAAAATCTAGATGGGCTCCAAAGTATGATTCAATTAAAGCATCGTTTGATGATGCACAATGGTAGCGTTTCGAAATGATGCAGCAATAATGTTTAGATAACAATTAATCGATAAGTAATCGATAGCTATTCAATTACTTCATTTATGGTTATTTGACGATCCCTTCAATCTAAAATCAAATATAAATGTTTTTTTTTAATTAAACATCTATCTACAGTTATCGAACAGCTTTTCCGATCCTGGATCTACTTTGAAACTGTAATCGATAGTTAATCGATAGATTATTATTAACCACCTACGTATTTTCATCTTTTGATTTATCAATATATCTTTATATGTATATGTATATGTTTTAGGCCCTCTCACTTTACATTAATATTTTGATTTACGACTTTACCCCGTTAACAACATCCGATTAAAGTCTTAATGACATTAATTTTCTAAGTTGTCTATCTAATGCCTTTGATATAGGTTTTGAAGGATGACTTGGCCTCTTTCATGGAAATCGATTAATCGTAATCTTTATGCTGAGTTATCAATCAAATTCTAGTAAGTATGCATATATATTACTCAAGCTATATCTACTTCAATCGCTTGACAGCTGAATAATTCGATTCATATCGAGACGATCTTTTCAGCCAGGCGCTACAAATTGTTGCCGAGACTTATGCTAAAAGCCCATCAAACGCATTTCAATTGCGCCTTCATAAACGATCCATCGATTGTGATCGGTACACACATGTGCGGCACTCTCCAGGGCTCCTCATATACTCCCAATTGGGGTCGCCTGTGGCACGATCTTCTTCAATTTTGACAAGGCAAACAAAACGCAAAACGGCAACAGGCTGGGATCGACACAGCGGCAGCTGAGGGGAAGTCTGGCTGCGACGTTGTGTGGCAAACATGGCTGAAAAAAACATTCACCCAGCGACGGAGTAGACTACTTTGCGCCAACGTATGTAACACTCTGGCATGGAAAGAGGGGGCGGTGGGCAACAACAACACCAACAACAACGACAACAAACACAATCACTCGCCAAATGATGTGCAGCCAAAAGAAGGCGAATCAGCCGCGTGGCAACCAGCAGAGCCGGAGGTGAAGCCCATCCGACAAACAATCGCAACCATCTAAGCCAGAGCAGAGCGCCGCTGATTGAGATTGAGATTTTTCTGGCAGGCGGCGATAGAACAGCAACAACAACAGCACAAAAGAGTGCTCGACAAGAAAATACCCTGTCTTTATTAAATAACTTTATTATTTGCTGTTCGCTTTATTTGGTAATTTTAAGCCTAACTAACTGCTCTAACTCTAACTCTAACTGCTAACATACGCAAGGTATGCCTTTAGGTATCCGTTTTAGATATCGATATTTATCGATTTTATGATGACAAACTCAATGGACGACAATTTTAACTTCATATAAGATGCACATGCTACCGATAATGGCGCTTGCTCCTAAAATATGTTACACATGTTTTAAGAAATCTAAGCAAGCTATCGATATATATCGATTTTGAGCTAATAAAGTCAATTAGCGATAATAAAGTCAATTAAAACAAATTTAAGCTGTGCCCGTTAACGATGATGTCGCTTGCTTTTAACATATACAAAATATGCCTAAAAATAGAGAAACTTGATATCGATATTTATCGATTTTCTCTCTTAAGTCAGTCAGCTACATTTTGAACGCAATTTGTTGCTAATATACCGTATATGGCTTAAAACAAAAACGTGTTATCGATATTTATCGATGTTGGGCTTATGAGAGCAGTTATCGACAATTAGAATTACATTTTTATTGCGTGTGCTATAGATGGACCCACATACAAATTTTATACTCTCTTTTCACGCTAATATCAACGCATTCTAGCAGACAGAGGGACAGGAAGTCGGACGGAAAGACGGGTAGTCAGAAGGACAACGACACTTTATGAACTCGACGCTGCCTACTTCTGCCTGTTGCCACAGTTTTCACAACTATGTATATTATGCCCCTTTTTGGGCATTTCCATTGGGCACAGGGTATAGCAAATGCAACAATGCAACTCCAAAATGTAACTGCAGCTGAGTTGGCGCTGTGAAGATGATCGTATGTGGCAGCTGCGGTTGCCACACGTAGCAGCCAGCAGCCAGCAGCCAACGCCAGATGAGCCGAGCGACATCAACTCATAAACGACTCTGCCTCTGTCCCTGCCTCAGACTCTGTGTACGTGTGTGTCTGTGTTGTGTGTGTGTGTTTGTGCATCCTCGACTTTCAGTTTCGTTTGCTGCAATTGGAGAGCAGCGCACGTCGAGCGTTTCATATAAATATGCGCAGTGGCTCCACATTGAGATCAGTCAGAATTTGGCGCTGCTTCGTAGCGCAAATATCCAAAAAAAAAACAAAACAAAAAAGTCAACCAAGCTCCCAAGTTCTCACGTGGAATATGTTTAACTTATTTGGCCTAACGCTGTTGTTGACGGCGGCGGTGCTGGCACGCCCCGAGCCGCCAGTGAACTCCTATCTGCCGCCCTCGCCCGGAGATAGCTACGGTGCGCCGGGTCAGGGACAGGGACAGGGTGGCTTTGGCGGCAAGCCCTCGGATAGCTATGGTGCTCCTGGGGCTGGCAACGGCAACGGGCGTCCCTCGAGCAGCTATGGTGCTCCTGGTCAGGGACAGGGACAGGGAGGCTTTGGCGGCAAGCCCTCGGACACCTATGGCGCACCTGGAGCTGGCAATGGCAACGGCAATGGTCGTCCCTCGAGCAGCTACGGTGCACCCGGTCAGGGACAAGGACAAGGCGGTTTCGGCGGGCGCCCTTCGAGCAGCTATGGCGCTCCTGGTCAGGGACAAGGCGGATTCGGCGGCAAGCCCTCGGATACCTATGGTGCTCCTGGTGCTGGCAATGGAAATGGACGTCCCTCAAGTAGCTATGGCGCTCCTGGTCAGGGGCAAGGCGGAATTGGTGGAAAGCCGTCAGATTCTTATGGTGCTCCTGGTGCTGGCAATGGCAACGGCAACGGACGTCCTTCGAGCAGCTACGGTGCTCCTGGTCAGGGACAAGGTGGTTTTGGCGGTAAACCCTCGGATACCTATGGTGCTCCCGGTGCCGGTAATGGCAATGGTCGTCCTTCAAGCAGCTATGGTGCACCTGGCCAGGGACAAGGCGGATTTGGTGGCAAACCTTCAGACACATACGGCGCTCCAGGTGCTGGCAGTGGCAACGGCAATGGTCGTCCCTCGAGCAGCTATGGTGCACCTGGCCAAGGACAAGGTGGTTTTGGTGGCAAGCCCTCGGATACCTATGGTGCTCCCGGCGCTGGTAATGGCAATGGTCGACCCTCGAGCAGCTACGGAGCGCCCGGTCAGGGTCAAGGACAGGGTGGTTTCGGTGGCAAGCCCTCCGACTCATATGGTCCTCCCGCATCAGGTGCTGGCGCCGGCGGCGCTGGTGGCCCCGGTGCTGGTGGTGGTGGTGACTATGACAACGATGTAAGTAGCAAATTGCTTGACCTGGGTTCTTACTTGGCTCCTTCCATACACGCACACACGAACAAAGATAAGCTCGACTGGAGCTGAACGCTTCCCTGCCCATGCTGCACAGCACGCTCTGATCTCTTGCACTGCTCCGAATTGCTTGCGCCTCTCTCTCTCTCTCTCTCTCTCTCTCTCTCGCTGTCTCTCAATCTCACTACTATCTCTCACTTAACTCTATCTTGAACTGTCTCTATCTGTCTCTCTCTTTCTCTCTCCACACGCTCTCTCGCTACCCCGTAGGAGCCAGCTAAATACGAATTTAATTACCAAGTTGAGGACGCTCCAAGTGGGCTCTCATTTGGGCATTCAGAGATGCGCGACGGTGACTTCACCACCGGCCAGTACAATGTTCTGTTGCCCGATGGAAGGAAGCAAGTAAGCGAGCTGGTCATCTAGCTGAGTGAACGCTGGGGAAACAGGACGAAGCATGCCACTACGAACGTAGCTAATCCTTGACCCTTTCTTGTTCTCTTACAGATCGTTGAGTACGAGGCAGATCAGCAGGGCTACCGTCCACAGGTACGCTACGAGGGCGATGCCAATGGCAATGGTGGTCCTGGTGGTGCTGGCGGTCCTGGCGGTCAGGATTTGGGTCAGAATGGTTACTCCAGCGGTCGTCCAGGCGGTCAGGATCTGGGCCAGGGTGGTTACTCTAACGGACGTCCAGGCGGTCAGGATTTGGGTCAGAATGGCTACTCCGGCGGTCGTCCAGGTGGTCAGGATCTGGGTCAAAATGGCTACTCCGGCGGTCGTCCAGGTGGTCAGGATCTGGGTCAAAATGGCTACTCCGGCGGTCGTCCAGGTGGTCAGGATCTGGGTCAAAATGGCTACTCCGGCGGTCGTCCCGGTGGTCAGGATCTGGGTCAAAATGGTTACTCCGGCGGTCGTCCCGGTGGTCAAGATTTAGGTCAAAATGGCTACTCCGGCGGTCGTCTAGGCGGCAATGGTGGCTCCGACGGTGGCCGCGTAATCATCGGTGGACGCGTGATTGGCCAGGACGGTGGTGATGGCCAGGGTTACTCGAGTGGCCGGCCCAACGGACAGGAGGGCGGCTTTGGACAGGACAACACGGACGGTCGGGGCTACTCCAGCGGCAAGCCAGGCCAGGGACGCAACGGCAATGGCAACAGCTTCGGACCCGGTGGACAGAATGGCGACAACGATGGCAGCGGCTACAGATACTAGATACTAGGACCAACGACCACCGAATATGAGACACACTAGCTAGCATTTCAGACGAGTTATGGAAAGACGTAGAACAATACCTAGAACTTAAGAGACACCTTAGAACTATGAACTAGTTACCGTTACCCGCCTAACGGACTCACCAGATCTATCGCCCCACTCTCTACTCTATACACATCTCACGCTATCTCATACTATCTCTTCCAACACAATATTTCTTCATCCAAACTTTGTCTTCACTTAGGCTAAGCTCAACTGGTAGTTGCATATGAGAAAAAAAAACATTCTGCTCGAAAGCGGCAAAGAACCCAAAAAAAAATAATAATGGAATGAAGAAGAAGATATACAAATCAAGATTTGTTAAATATAAGAATGGATTGCCAATAAGTATGTGACGTAATAAAGACATATTTTTATAAATAACAAAATATCTTGAATTGGTCGGATTGAAGGATTCTTTAAGCACTGGGAAAGTTTTTATAGTTCTACAGTCCTCAAAACTTGAACTCCAGTTTTTCACAATCGATCCGTTCCAATGCAGAACACACAAAAGATAACATGAACTCGTTATCTTTTTGAAGGTTCTGCATTGAACTTTTTAAAATACATTGGAATAAAGGTCTTGCTATAGAACATGTTTTCTTAAAAGCCTGCTAAAGCTTGTAAAAAAGTTCAGATATTATACTCCCACAACAGATTGCATGTCTATCTTTGTCGACTTGATATAAATATTTTGAGTCCATATGGTTTCCTTCGGGCTTAAGTTGTGAACACAGTTTGTTGTCCTTTGGTAATTGGGAATAAAGCAAATATCTTGCTTCGAATGAACCCAGATCTCTAAAAAAATTTAAAAAGTTCTTTACATAATTGCCTACTTTTACTTCTCAACATAAAACTAAAGCTTTTAATTAACATTTTTAAATACAGTCATTTGTTTCAATATAGTCACCGAAATTGGTCCAGGTATGATTCCAGAGGCGTGGATCCGCGCGCGGGTCATCAGGCTTATTGGCAGGTGGCACTGCGGTGGCATTAAGCAGCTGTAGCTCCTTCAGCAAGAGCTCCAGCACCTTGGGATGCCTGGCACACAGATTGAGAATTCAGTTACAAGTTTAATTGCAGTGCTAAGAATACTTACTGCTTGGCCTGATTACGCTGCTCGCAGGGATCCTCGCGCACATTAAAGAGACAGGGCTCGCTTAGGGGCTTGCAGGCAATATCTGGCGCGTCCTTCGGCTTGGCGTCCTTGCAGATGACGTTGGCTGCTTCGCGCAGGCGTATCATATCCGCAGTTTTGGGCAACATTTTCAGCTGCTGCATGGCCTGGCCGGTGGCGCTCTTCGCCACAGATTGCCAATCATAGTCGTGCGGATTACGCATGCCCGCCGGCCCATACCAGCCATCCCACGAGCCATTGTAGTTGGTGCCCTTGACCAGCTTCCAGTCGCCCACGCTGAGTGCGGCGTTGCCCCAGATATCGTCTATGTTGTGCAGCACGCTCTTGCGAGGAGATGTCTCATTCTTGAGCAGCGCCTGCCACAGGCTTATGCCATCCAAGTTAGCTGTGCCCAGCTTTGCGAGCGCCGCCTCACCGCCAGCAGCTTCCACCAGCGTGGGCAGCCAGTCCACAATGTGCATGGTCTGCTCTGCTGTGCGCGGGCGTTTGGTCAGCTGTGGCGACCAAAGGAGCGCCGCGCCACGCACGCCGCCCTCCCAGAGCGTGTTCTTGACACCACGCAGGGGATAGTTGGAAGCAAAGTTCGAATTGAAACCCTCCGCTGGGCCGCCATTGTCCGTGGAGAAGACTATAATGGAATTGTCCAACATGCGAGATTTGCGCAACTGCTCTACAATTTTGCCCACAGACTCATCCATGGCGGTGACCAAGGCTAAAACAAAAATAAAGTTTATTATAATTTCGACCAGCGACAAATAAGAAATGCAAGCCAAGCCCACCCGCATATTTGCGTCGTTTATAGTGTTGAATCGTGTCCAGTCGACGCACAGCGTCATCCTTGACGGGCAGCGGATTGTAGGGATTGCCCGAATGCACCGCCGCATGCGCCACGTAGAGGAACAGCGGACCCTGGGTGGCATTGTGTCTGGATATCACATTCAGCGAATGCTGCGTAATCACATCCGTGCTGTATTGCCCATGCAGATCGTAGGCCACCTCGGTGCCATTGCGCATGTCCAGGCCCCAGTAGCCATGCTCCACAGCTGTGTGATCATTGTAATCATGGTGGCCCGACCAGTAGCCCACATGGCTGCTAAAGCCACGATAGAGTGGGGTATAAACACGCTGCCAGTGGCCCAGATGCCACTTGCCAGCAATATGCGAGGTGTAGCTGCAAGGAAAGAAAGGCATTTCTATTATTGTTGTATTAAGAATCGAAGATTGAAAGGCAGAAGTTGCCTTCACACGAGCTCCCGAGCCGTATTGAAAGGCACTTGCTTAAGGCAAAAGGTCAAGGTCAACTCTGTGAAAACTTACCCCAAATCGTTGAGATATTGCGGCAGTATTTTTAGATCCAAAGGCAAGCCGCGCGGCTCTGCGGCAAAGAGCACCGTATGTTGCATGCCTGCACGAAAATTGGGGGGCTAAGAAATCAGCTTAAGCCTGAATTTAAATCAACTCACCTGTGTGTATGGGATACTTGCCCGTCATGAGCGCTGAGCGTGAGGGTGTGCAAATCGGATTGACATAGTAGCGATTCAGTATGAGACCCGAATAGGCCAATGCATCGATATTGGGCGTGGGAATCTGCGCCGAGCCGCGGAAGCCCACATCATTGAAGCCCTATAAAAAACCAAGCGGCAAATCAAAAAGAAATAAATGGCATGACTCTGGTTAAGCTCACTTACCAGATCATCCGCCAGAATAAAGATGATGTGCGGCTGTGCAACGACATAGCTGATGAGCAACAAACATAGATGCAGCTGTAGATGAAGTTGCATCGTGAATAGTTGCCTCATTTGCATTGTTTATACCCTGTACTCAAGACAAATAAACAAAAGAAAGGGCATCATAAAGTTGGTGGAATATACACGTATGAAGGAAATTGCTGTTTGGAGCATATAAAGGCTATAGAGTCTGGAACAGCATCAACTCTTAAACAATATATCTCGCAGATTATACAAACTACAAATGACCAGTAGATTTCTACACATCTACACATACTGTGTCAATATGTTTTTAATAAATACCTCAAACACTTCTCTTCTTGGCGCAAAAGTTCGATGTGAATGACGAAGCTGGATATAGGGTATCTTCTAGTCGGGCGCACTCGATGAGAAAGGGGCAGGGCTTATGCGCTTGCAACGATTAGAGCTCATTAGTTGACTAATTACGCTGCACTCTCGAGATTCGAATGCGGGCTTATATTTGCCAGATATGCTTGTGTATGCTAATTTCAGCAACATCTTGGTGCTGGGGTCTGTGCAATTGCAGCCATTGCCAATTGATTGGCTTTTGTATATGCCGCCTGACATTGAGTTCCCATTAGAGTAAAGCTCGCAAAAAAAGTGCCGATTCATATTTTAGCTTTGGGCCTAAAACTGGAACTGAACTGAATCAGCAGAATGTCAAGTTTGTTATGTGAACTCGAATATCGGTGTGCGATCCGACAGTCGATTGCGTAATAGATATGTTTACTTTTAAATCGTATATCTATCGTATCCATTCTGAACGTTAAGTAAAGCTCGAAATGTCATTTGAGTCGAAATGATTATTGCGTTTATTTTTGTATGGGCAGCATAACTCGCGGTTGACGCTGCCAACAGCTAATTAGCATGTGAATTGAACGTGGGGTTTGTCGACCCTTTTCCTCATTAGTGGGTCAAATAACTGACCAACAGTTGGCAACCAGACCACACAATGGACATACAGTGAAAGCTCTGCAAACGGACAGCAGCCAGCAGAATAAGATGAGCATTACAGAGCCCAAGAGCCGTGTGTGTTCCCTGCAGGAAGATTTTACTGTACAGATCAATTTGTTGAAAGACAAACCCAGTTACTCAAATAAAGCTTACGTATTAATATATAATAAAATATTTTAAATATTTGACTCACCCCTATAATGTTTTGTTTAAATAACTTATCGCATGAATTTCGTTTTACTTGACCACATTTATGATAAACAATGCCAGCTCTTTGTTTATGCTCAAACACAATTACTTTCAGTATTAATTTTTTTTAGCAAATTATAATGAGGCGTTAAGAGGCGCGCGTGCAAACAATTGATTTAATTTATGAGCAGTGCACGCACTTAAAAACTCTTTTTTATATATCTAACATTTTCTTTTTTAGCGCCAAAATTTATTTAAATAATCAGCGCAGATTCAAACCGCTTCTCAGCACGCGCCAAATGCGACTGACCAAACGTTGGCCACTCTTTAACGCTACCCGAGCTGTTGTCTGCGCCGGCGTCGCTGACTCTCTCTCTCTCTTTCTCTTTCCCTCATTCTGCAAACGATAAACAGCGAAAGTCGCGTGCGCTGTAAAATGCGCAGCCAACAGCGACAGTGGCAGCTTCAAGTTCGATATGTAAACAGAGAGCCAAACCACGCACTCACGTAGCGAGAGCACGACAACGGCGTTGCCAGACATTCTCATTAAATATATTTTTGTTTTGTTTTCAATCAACAATTACAAATAGCAATAAAACGTATTAATTTTTATTTATTAAAATACATAGCAGAATTTTCGGTATAGTTTAAGTGCAATTATCTCAATATTTAAGTTATCCGATGAGCAAGCGTAATACATTTAAATTATGAACTTACATGCCAAGTTTTAAATCTTTTAAGCGCGCATTAAGATCGGAATTTCAGAATATGGGCCTAAGGCTGTACACTTAAATAACGACTGCAAATGTTAGCTATAGTTAATTTCTGTTTGCGATTTTCATAACCTACCCGAGAAAATAAAAGGCAGCCGGACATTATATACCAAACTAAAATTTTTGCCAACACGACTCACTTTTGCATATAAATGTGCACAACCGAAATAATTAGAAAAATTACACAGGCAATTTTGATTGAGAGCTTTTAGGGGAAATACATTCCAGCACGTCCAAGCCAACGTATTATTACAGTAGCAGCCATCAGGAGAGCCTTTAGAGTATTTCAAGATCGACGTGACGTATTTCTGGAAAATGTGTCTAGACAGACAAAAACAAAACTTTGCTTTCAGCCGCTATAAAAGATTAAACAAATTAGTTTCAGCTTACGCGCAGATTCATTTCTATGCGATCAATTTCTCCACCCATCAGATCCACAATGCTTTCGCCCTGGTCAAGCAAGAAACCCTCCAGATCATCGACATTACGAAAACCTCGCACAATCTGAAAAATAGATTATTAATTGCATACCAGAAACTTATTATTCACAATATTCACGTACTGCTAGCAGCTTGTTCAAATCTTGTTTGTCCAAATACGAACGCGTCAGTTCGCGTCCATCAAAGTCTAGCTCAGCCTGTGCAAAACAAATCTATTAAAGGAGGTTTTAAAGCATCCCTTAACGAACCTTATATCGCACTCGACCATTGCCAATGTCTATGCCTTTGACATCGTAAATAGCGCGAATCATCACATCAGCCTCTAGCGCCGCATTGATCTTCTCCAAACGATCCATGGATATGGAGACGCCTACCAGCGCATTGGCATTTGTGTAAATGATAAAGGAAGCGACAGCACCCAACAGCACACCAATAGCTAACGAGCCCGCCGCATCAAATATAGGGGACCCTGTGTAACTACTCAGGCCCATGCAGCCGGCAGCAATCATGACACCAGCCACAGCTGCAGCATCTTCGCAAAGCACCACATTTACGCAGGGATCCTTGCCGGCAATAACTGCAAATGTAAATTCTCAGAGGATTGCGTAGCAAATATGAAGAAATGCCTACCATAATCTTTGAAGCTCATATTATTTACTTTTGCTGAGCGCTTCAATTCATTGATGGCCACCATCAGCGTGGCGCCCTCGGAAACAAGCGAGCCTGCGAGTATACAATAAACCCAAAAGAGATCTGTGATAGGCTGCGGATGCAGAATGCCCTCGATGCCATGGTAGATTGATAAGCCGCTGCCCACGCAGAAGATGCCAACGCCAGAGATGAGTGAGGAGACGTAGCGCATATTCATATAGCCATAGGGATGATCCGTATCGGGTAACTGTGATGACTTGTAGATGCCAAAGGCCAGTATTAGCTGATTGATCAGATCTGCCAGCGAGTGTATGACCTCCGCAAACATGCTGTGCGATCCGCTATACATCCAACCGCCTGTCTTAAACAGCAGATTGGCTGCGTTGCTGAAAATGTAAATGGATTAGTCAACAAGTTAAAACAATAAAATAATGCACTCACATAGCAATGGCCGTGGCCACCACTTGACCAGACTTCTCCGCATTCGTATTATTATCTGTCAGCCCTTTGGTGCGTGAGCCCACCTCTCGTCGATAGTCGCGCAGGCGCCGCTTCACCGTAAACACATCTATGTTCGTATACATTAGCATCGCATTGTTTCCTGACCTCTGTCAGCAGAGATGAACTTACTCTGCTGATACTGTTTGCGCTCCACATCGCGCTTGAGTCGTTCCCGAACAATGCCTTCCTTCGAGCCCCACACTTCTAGCGCTTTGGCCTCGACATCGCGTCGCCAGTAAACGGTCATGGGCGGTTCCTGTTCGTAGGGTGAGCGGCGCTTGATTTTGGGAAGTTTCTCCAGATCCGACAGGGTTAGCATGAAATCAGATAAGGCGCGCGCGGGTGTCACAAAATTCCGCTCCAGTGACATGCGGTAATCAAAGCGCGGTCGCTTTGGCGTCGGCGTGGTTGTCACTGATGGCGCTGGCGGCACTAACGACGTAGTTGGCGGTCTTTCTACGTCATCCTTACGCATCAGCGCAATAGCGTTTGGCGCTGGTGGAGATGGTGCGCTGGATGGTGGTGTGGCCTTTTCCATGCCTGATGTATTCGACATAGGCATTACGTTTATGGCGGGTTCGTTCAGCTTGGCCACCGGCGACAACTCCGTCTTTTCGAATACAATTTCATTGATCTTCGAGTCCTCAATGGTCGTGGTAATTGAGAGTATGCCCTTGGAGGTTTTTACTTCAAAGTTCTTCGTCTGTACGACGGGCAATTTTTTATCTTTGCTGTCCAGCTTTTTCTGATCAGATTTGTCTGCGGAAGCCTTCGGGGTCAGGTCTTTAAGATCATGGCCCTTGTCACCGCTTGCGGTGCATCGCACCTGCATGGACCAGAAACTGTTGTTGACTTCTCCTCCTCCTCCTCCACCCAGGCGACTGCGTGCTTGTAGACGCAGCGGCGCGCACTCATTGCATTGCAGGCCATAGGACCACGAGCCAAAGTGTACATGTTGGCGCCCCCATAAGCTTGCGGCTCGCGTGAACTGTTGTTGTTTGCGATGCAACAGCAACACGCCGCGCATCAACATGCTGCAGCCGCCACCAAAAGCAGCTGGCTAAATGCTCTAAAAAGCAATAGCTATATGAATCAGCTTGAGGTTCATGACTATGTATGCCACTTACACAGCGCACAGTTCACAGATTTCAATCTGTTGACGTCGTTTCGTGTTTGTTGCCGTTTCACTTTTCGGCGCACTACGTCATGCAGAGAGTGTATGTATTGTTATTTGTGGACTTTGCTTGTTGCTGCTGGTGCTCAATTGGAATGGAAGTGTGCCAAGTACGCTGCAGTAGTTGTCAATGCCGAAATGTTGCACTTTCTTTATTGCTTGTTGAGTTCAATTTACCAAATTTAAGTGGCTAAATATAATTTAGAAGCGCCCGGCTGTAGTTTTAGCTAAAGAAAAAATTATATCGACTATCGATAACTGCCATATGCACTAGCTGCTAATGTTTGCCAACACTGCCGCAACAGCTGTTCGTCGTATACCTATGTCTGAGGCATGTGGAGTAATGTTGTCACGAATTGTATAATGCACTATGAACTTAAATATTTTTTATATTCAAAAGCTTATGCTATATATTTTTTAAGATATTAAAGGAGTTGTTTGCGTTGGTTAGCATTAGCTAGGTCTATGCATTCGCACTATATATATATGAGTTAATATGATGCCTAATAAATGCTTAATACAGATGCAAGGGTATTCAACCGTCGACTGTTAAGTTTTCATTAAACTTGTGTTTTGTTCCCTGTCGCGCTTCTTAGCCACTGCCGGTTTTGTAACCATAATTTTTTTCGTTCTGAATTTAATTTGTTGATTTTCGTTGGTAACAAATGTCGCTGCTACTGCAACGAGCTGCAAAACTCATAACGCGTAATACGCTGCCCCTGAAAGCTGCAAGCAGATGTTGCTACTCCAAAGATACGATTTTGGGTGACGGCAGCGAAGTGCTAGTGGAGCGCCTGGAAGGCAACCAGAAGGGCATAACAGTGTTGGGACTAAATAGGCCGGCTGCGAAAAATGCTTTCAGTCGTGGCCTGGTTAACACGTTCACTGATATTCTGCAGGAAATCAAGCGGGACAACGGTTCTAGAGTAGTTGTGCTGCGCAGTCTCACGCCAGGCATCTTTTGTGCAGGGGCAGATTTGAAAGAACGTAAAGGTAGGGGATGTAGCTCAGTGGTAGAGCGTTCGCTTTGCATGTGAAAGGCCCCGGGTTCAATCCCCGGCATCTCCAGCAACTAACTTTTTACCTTTTTCATTCTTTTTAGTATTTTTATATTTAATAAATTTATTTTTTTTGGTAGGTATGACCCCTGAGGAGACCAGCGAATTTGTGACCCAGCTGCGTGGCCTGCTCATTAGCATTGAGCAGCTGCCCATGCCTGTAATTGCGGCACTCGATGGCGCTGCCTTGGGCGGCGGCCTAGAAATGGCCCTGGCCTGTGACATACGCACAGCTGCCACGAATGCAAAGATGGGTCTGGTGGAGACGCGATTAGCTATTATACCGGGCGCTGGTGGCACTCAGCGTTTACCACGGATACTCTCGCCCGCACTGGCCAAGGAGCTGATATTCACAGCTCGTGTACTGGACGGTGCCGAGGCCAAGCAACTGGGTCTGGTCAATCATGTGGTGGAGCAGAATGAAACAAAGGATGCGGCTTATCAGCAGGCTGTCAAGCTGGCCGAGGAAATACTGCCCAACGGACCGGTGGGCGTGCGCATGGCCAAACTGGCCATAGACAAGGGCATGCAGGTGGACCTGAATACAGGCTACTCAATCGAGGAGGTGTGCTATGCACAGGTCATACCCACCAAGGATCGTCTCGAAGGACTGGCAGCCTTTGCCGAGAAACGCAAGCCGGTCTACAAGGGCGAATAGGCTTGACCTAACAGAGGCTGGCTCTAAGCCAAAGCAGTGCATTTATTAGATTGTTATTCAACTATTTTTTTCTGTTATTTTTTGAAATGAATTTAAATAATAACTAATGCAAACGTAGAGCTTTATACTAGAGCTAGTTGAACATCGTATTTCTATTAAACTGTCGGTAAGCTACTAATTGTTTACACTTGCAAAGGGTATTACAATTTTTTCATGAAATGAAAGCATAGAGGAAGATATCTGCCAATTCGATCATTTTATAACTTCTTGATCTGTATCAAACATTCGAGTGAATATAGAGATAAACCTCTGCCAGTTTCTATGTAAAATAGTTCAAATCCAGCATGGAAATACTGCAATATGCTTAAGAAAGTATGCATTTATGTAAAATATATTAAATTTTTTTAGGGTCGACGTACGTTTGATATAAAAGCACTTGGTCCCGACAAAGATGGGTAATACCCGTTTTTCGGATATATGTATATTCTGTAAGGGTGTTTAATTTTCGTCTCTGCCAAAGATAAGTGCTTCTTCATGCTACTCGGATGACGCGGCTCCCAATTGTTGCTGCAGTTAGTCATGCTGATTGCTAATTGCTGCTATTAAATCCCAGCTTGACTGTTCATTTGATTTATGTTCCCACAAAGCAAATCCGACTTACATGCAAAATACATCTCCGCCTATGCGGAAGTTGTCATTTCTATAGAAATGTATTGAGAATTGTTTAGAAAGCGCCAGACAAGCGCATTCCATAACTTCAGATTGACTGGGTAAAGTCATTTATTGGAACATTGCGCACATACATATATACTATATTTATTTGTAAGCGTATTTAATTTAGTTTTTTTTTCAGCTATTCAGTTACTTTTTGAGTGCCGGCGCAAACAATGAGCTTTTGTTTCGCCAAAACAAAATAAACACGCTCTTATATAAACAAAAATGTACTGAATGAAAGGCGTTAACTAGTAGTTAAAACAAAAAGCAATGCGGGTGCGTGCCGCCTATCCACGCAGACGCAGCCGCAGCCGCAGCCGCTCAAGGAGGCAGCAGTCGGAGTTATTGACTAGCTGTCGCTTGTCACCCAGAGCAGTTGACCCACTTGCCACGCCCAGATGCCGCACAGCGCCCTCGCAAGGGGCAGGCTACGGGGTAGACATCAAACGTCCATTCAATTAACACGCAACACCGTGTTTGACATCATGCAAGGTCAGTAAACGCGGCTCTTGACTGGATGCGAAGTGTGTGTTTTAAGTATTTCGGACTTGACTCCGCAGCTGACTCAGTATCGGTCATTTGGCGAATCAGATGCGACAATCTAGAGACAACTAATGCCAAGCGCACTTTGCATACTAATCAATTAATGAATTAATTGCCTAGACACACGGATGATGAGCTCGAACTGGACTGGAAATTAGAACCCAAAAACAAAAAGAAAAACGAATACAAAACACACACATTGCACAATGTGAAGGCTGTTCCGGAAACAATTGCGGAAGCATATCGATTAACATTAACATTATTGTTGTTAATAATATTATTATTATTATAAAGCAATAAGGTACGAAAATATATTACGTGCTACGGTATTTGTGTACAAAACGAGTTTCATGCATTTTATATGCTCATTGTACATTATTTGTTTGGACGAAATACATACGAATGTATGTCTGTATGCTGGGCTCGCGATTTGCATTGCAATGGATCAGCTTATGGACGCACACCCTGTAAAAGTAAAGAAAAAAAACAGACAAAAATCACACAACTCAAATGATACAATGTCTTCCAGGTATTTGTACTTTAAAACGGCGACATGTCGAGTGTTAACAATGAGATTACAAACACGTCAAGCTAATGGCAACAAACGAGGCATGACTTAAGATGCCAAATCGTATTATACCCTGTAACCATTCCCAATTGATAAAAAAAAAAAGTATATTGAATCCGTCCAAATACATGCGACAGGCTAAAAGACGATTTCCAAAACTCATAGAGTATAAATATTTGACATAGACTTCAAATCGATAAATATCGATTTTCATCAACGCTTTAACGAGCACATTTTCGAGATGAGAACAAATTTGGAATACATCTTGAGTTTTGAGCTCTCTGAGCACACACTTTGAATCCTTATTGGACCTCGCCGAAAACTAAATAAAATATTTAGCTTTGCTTTGCCTTTGAATGTAATTCCCAAGTTCTGAAAATTGCATAACAATCGAACGGCAGTTATCTACAAATAAAGTTTATTTAGTGCATGAATATAGGGTATATTTTGGCCAGGCACTCTTCAAACTCGAACTTGTCTCGCTTTTTTAATGTATTTTGTATACCCCCCGTCATCATACTTGCATATAGATTACATATACTCCTGTGTCTATATAAATTCTAAGCCAATCATCAAAACAATTGAACTTTAGCCAATGTTTTGCTGATAAAACATGGGCTTCCATACTTATCTATAACTTCACATAATCTTAACATTCGGCATTGTGTATATAGTACGTCATATGTTACGTTTATCCACCTGGTATCTAAGAAGGTGCTTGTAACTTGTGGCCACAAATTAAAGATACACGGGGGCAACAAGTAAACAACCAATCAATTTAGACAATTACGTCAAATTGATTAATAGAAACAGACGACTTTTGCTTTTAATCACAAAATAACGAAATAAAAAAAACGCCTTAGACCAATTACAAATGCCGCTAAATGTTAATTAACGCTGAAAATTTTCCATAAATCAATGAACGACAAGCTATCCCATGCATTTAATTAAGTCACTAAAACTAAACTCGAACTAAATAAAACACTTTTCAAAATGCGACGCACGTGAAAATTGCATTTCAATTTGTACCTCAAAATTTTCCACTGGCCCACTGAATGGAACAAGTGACAACAACAATCGAGCGTTTCATATTTTATGGCCAGGCAACAAAATCGAGTGCAATAGCAACAGCAGCAACAACAACAATGTCCACTTGAAACAAGTTAATAACAAAACTCCATGATCTGACTTAAAGAGACGCCTCAAGGCGACGACAGCAACAACGGCAGCCACAACAAACACAGACTCTAAGTAATTGCCATGTTTAAGTACTCTCAGCCGTCGTCCCGCTGGCCTGGCAACGCAGGGAACCCAGCCAACAGCACCAGCCGCAGCAGAGCGCTCTTTAAGGCGCCTCACAAATTCTTAGCTGGCCATGTTCAATGCACTCCAATTTGACCAGGTCTACTCTTTCCGCCCGACACCCCCTACCAAATTGCAGTAGCAGTGAAAAAGTCAACTGCAAGCGCTAATGATGATCATAATGAGCTTGATGAACATGCTGATAATGATGCTGCTGGCAGACACTCTGTCTCTTGCGTATACAGGGTGTTCAAGGGAAGACCTCATTAGTTGACTACAATGAGCAACGCCTCTTTAATTAGAGCAAAATATTATTTATTATTAGACAGAACGTACATTATTACGTTAGCTTGGGATTTGAGCCAGCGTCCTTATATTAAGGTGTATTGCTCTCAAGGTTGCCAAGTTTCAATTTTCGAAATATCTTTCTGATAAAACATGGCTTGGAATATAACGAACCAATTTAACCTAGCAGCAAAAATAAATCAAATCAATTGGGCATAACTAAAGAACTATTTTTTACAATAATAAATACAAATAACTCAAGTAAATTGAGATTTCTCAGCTGCATTAGTTTAGTTTTATAAATACAAACAAAAAATATTTGTATTATAATTTTCAACCCAAAACAAAGTCGCATAAAACAAAGAAGTAAATTGAATATTCAACCAACTTTATTTGAAATCTTGTTTTCTCGTTTGGTCATGAACAACAATATGTCCATATTTTATGCTCAAGAACACTTTAAATTTGGCTTTTGAACTTCTTTTCAAGTTCGCTGCAACAATTTGTTGCTACGCTTGGATAAAATGTAAATAAACGAGCGGGTTTCACGCATTCACAGATCTCCTAGGCCAATATAAATCATGGCTTATCAGTTCTAATTTCAATACTAATGTTTATCAGACTGCATTTAATCTTAATGAGCCTTAAGTAGCTACCGTTTTTTTCGCTGCTGCTGCTGCTGCTGCTGCGGCGGGCGTTGCCACTCTGTGCGCGCAGCGGCAACGCTGCGTATGAGCAATGCAATGCACAGGCATACTTGTCTGGCTGTAAATGCCCAAAACTGAATGGTATAGAAAGCACGCACACACACACATACACACACACACACACACACACACACACACACATAGACACATAGTGAATGAGAGAGAGGCCGACTTCGCCCCAACTGCGTCACGGCGTCATTTATTGTCCGTTGCGATAATTGCTCGCCCACTCTTGTCCCCGCTCCGCTCACGCAACGGACAACCGTCTGTGTGTGTGTGTGTGTGCTTTATAGCCGGCAACAGCGGCCGCAGCAGCAGCAACAAATTAAGGCAGCAACATTGGCTTAATATCAGTCACTAACTGATCGCCAGAGCGTTAACAACAACGCAAACGCAGCAGCAGGAGCCGCAGCTTAGAAAAAACGCGCGCGACTTTTGACGCGTAGCATAGCATTTAGTGACAAAATAAAAAGTAACCGTTATTCACAATAGCCGTTTTAATAATAGACTTTACAATTAGCTTGCGGCTAATTAAAGTCTAGTTTTGGTGTTTACAAAACGCGCGCGATTCATACGCGTTTCTCGTCCACGCGATTTGTGCGGGCGTTAATTAACGCAAAGGTGCAACAAAATTAGGAACTTTAAAAAAACAATCACAGTTCGTGTCAATGTTAAGCACAAACAGTTTGTCAAAAGCATAAACAAATAACACGAGCATTGTGCAAATCATTTTGAATATAATTATATTAGCAACAGTTGCGAAAAGGTAATTCAAATAAAGTCCGCTAAATGCAGATTTTCATAAGAGCCTTACACAAATCTTAATGGCATGTTATATTTATGGCAGCAAGCTGAAATAAATTGAATAAAAATATATATTATGATTATAGCTGAACGAAATTTATTTAGTTCACAGAACTTAAAGGAAAAACTTTTCCCTAATTTATTTGGTCAAATATTTTTAAATGCAATAATTATTCACACTTAAATGTCAGAAAATATTGCCC